AATTGATATTGTAAACCTGGTTCTGTAGATTTTCATAAACTGGGTTGTTTTATGGTTATGTATGTACAGAAATGTTTTTTTGTGGGGGGGGGTAAAGAAGAGAAAAGATTAATCTTATTCAAGGAAGTGCAGAAAAGTTCTCAGTACTACCCACTGAAGAAAATTTTCTTTTTTCTTTTCTTTTCTCATTTTTTTCTTTTTCTCTTTCCTTTTTTCTTTTCTCTTTTCTTTTTATCTTCTCTTTTTTTCTCTTCTCTTTTCTCTTTTTTCTTTTTTCTCTTTTTTCTTTTCTCTTCTCTTTTTTCTTTTCTCTCCTCTTTTCTCTTTTTCTTTTTTCTTCTTCTCTTTTTCTTTTTTCTTCTTCTCTTTTTCTTTTTTCTTCTTCTCTTTTTCTTTTTTCTTCTTCTCTTTTTCTTTTTTCTTCTTCTCTTTTTCTTTTTTCTTCTTCTCTTTTTCTTTTTTCTTCTTCTCTTTTTCTTTTTTTCTCTTCTCTTTTTTCTCTTTTCTTTTTCTTTTCTCTTTCTTTTTCTCTGTTTTCTTTTCTTTTTCTTTTTTCTCTTTTTCTCTTCTCTTTTCTCTTCTCTTCCTCTTTTCTCTCTTCTTTTTTCTCCTTTCTTTTTCTCTTTTTTCTATTTTTTCTTTTCTCTTTTTCCTTTTTTCTTCTCTTCTATTTTTTCTTTTCTTTCTTATCTTTTCTCTTTTTTTTCTTTTCTCTTCTCCTTTCTACTCTTTTTCTCTTTTCTTCATTAGATCTCTTGGTTGTGCCAACAACTTTTCAACTCCTCTTCATATATAAAAATTACACACACACACACACAACTGTCAGAAAATAAATGTCAAGAACATTAAATTAGTTCTGAAGGCATATAATGATTTCATAATACTTACTAAAGAATAATGTGAAATATTTTCTTGTGTCTGGAAATGCTGTGTTATGTAATGTTACTATTACAATCATACTGAGTTGCAAAAACACTTATTCCTAAATTTAAGCACAGTTATTTTCTTATCAGAATAAATTTATCCAAATTATGTCAGCAATTAAAATTATCAAAACCATTATATTTTAGCAAAATCACTATGGAAATAAAAAGTATATCTTAATGTATGTGTGATGATAGGTTTGTATATAAAATTTTGATTCAATTTATTGTCAAAAATATAAAAAGTGCTAAAATCGGTGAGTACTTAGATTTACAAATATTTAACTATAACATGACACATCATCTTTTGTCAGTGTAGATGTTTTAATATATGAAAATAGTTAATTGTAATGGGCATAAGATAGGGAAAAACAACTCCAAGGGTCAAATGCCAGCCCAGTCATTCTAATTTTTTTCCCCAACAGAACTCCCATTTGAAAAGCAACAATTTTACCAAATGAGTCATGACACAACTACCAGCATTAATGAATATGAGAGAAGCCAGGAATCTGTTGTTTCTGACCCAGACACATTATCTCACTCATGTAACATCTGCCTGCAAGTAATAGATTCTCATATTGCAAATGTCCCCTGGGGTGACATTAAGAGACACCTTACCCTCTGCAGTAGAGATAGAGAGAGGAATACTAAAGGGGTAGATTTGCAAATGCTTATATGCTATGTAGCAAAGGGTTCATTTGATATTTGATGCTGCAAAAATGGTTTTAAAAGTCAGAATGAGCAGTCATTCCTTTCATCTTTTCTTTGCTATGTCATCTGGGATGACATACCAAAGAAAAGCAAAGTAGAAAGAACTTAACTGTTTTTGGCATAGTTATCTTCTTAGCTCAGTATGGTATAGGGATACACATACAGAGCCTTCAGTAATGATCTGAAACTGTAGCCATTACACAACAGAATATTGTTTTTTATTTAAACCATTCTCCCAGCTAAAGAATTGAAAAGTTAATTTTCATTTAAAAAGTGTTGTTTTTTTTTTTTTGTTTTGTTTTTTTTTCACATGTAAATGAATTTATTATTATTATTATTATATACGGACTTGTCATTTTTATTTCAAACCTTCTTCAATCGTTAAAATACTTTTGCATCGTTGATGATACAATAGAAGGTCCAAATAACAAATCATGGTAATAAGTGGAATTAACAGCATTTTATTAAATCAGTTCTATTATGCTAGTGAATCACAAGATCTCCAACTAATTCTAGGTGTTATTTTAAATATTTTATTAAAAATAGTAGACCTACCTGACATAAACAAGTTCTTTGGGTGGAAGTAAATGCTAAATATAGAATTTCTATAACTTTGAGATCATTACAGGGAGACCTTCTAAAATTGTCTACATTATTAAAATTATTCAATAAAAATTAATATTATTTTATACAGATGATTTTAAATACTCTTGTTTATTTATTCACTTTTAATAGTTGTTTCAATATATCTAATGCTTGCATGAAAATACTTTGCCCTTCCCCCTACTGTAAACTTCTCATTTTTCATAACAGCAATACCACTTGAGATAGATTTATGATAAGATTTGAACTTGCACCTCCTCCCTTTAGGAGCCTGGGTGACATTGACAACATTTTGCTGATTAAACCACAGATGCCAACCATCACTCATCATTAAAATCAAGTCAAAAAGCTACCTTCTTTATCCAATTTGATTCTGTCATATTTTTTTTTGCTTAGATCTCTCACAATAGGAAACTGAATATTCTCAAATTTAAATGAAGTATTATCATAATAATTAATTTATGGGTAGTTTTTTTGGGTTTTTTTCATATTGCTTAGGTTATTTTTATATTCTATGAAATAACATGGAAAGAAATTTTCAAAAAAATAATTATGGAAGCTGAACTTTACATTTTTTTCTCCATAGAATAACACTGTCTTTTGGTGGGGTTGGTTGCTCCCCAAGCAAGACAATAAAGCCACTAAGATGCAAGAGGTTACTAGAGTGTGAGAGAATGAGAAAAAAAATCTCACTATTAAAGAAAGAGAACAATAAAAGAACAGGAATTAAGTAAACAGAAGATAACAATTGACATTGCATTTAAATTTTTGAAGGTCAAAGTTGACTAGAAAGCAAGAAACCGGAAGTGCAAGAGAAGAAACTGTTGCATAAAACTTATGGTTACATCTAGTCATTTTGACTGTCAAATGATGAGACCTTACTGACAATCCAGTACTGTGTTTACATTCAAAATGTCTAGATACCATAGAGGAAAATTCATCAAAACAATTACCATGAAAACATTATAGAAAAGGCACAGGGAACTTACATAATGGCAGTGGGAAAGTTTCTGAAGCTGAGATGTCAGGACAATTAACACTGCAGATTCTTCTTTGTATTTCATCAAGAGTCTCTAAATACATAACAGAAGCACCGGACCAGATGTAACAGCAATATTCAAAGCCTGAATGAATAGTAGACTTATAAATATGTAAGAGAGATTCTGGCAAGAATTGTCTAGCACGACACAGTGAACCAACTTTCCTAGTTGTAGACCTAGCAATTGATTCAATACTCTATATAATCTTTCCACTTTATGTCAGCAAAAAAATTTAACCTGAGAAGGCTAGAAAATGGAAGAAGATGCAAGATAATTTTTTATTAAAGGTAAATTTTCTAGACAATCTAGTATATTTCCAATGTAATTCACATTTTTATTGGGGCTGAAAATATTGATCCTCAAACAACTTTCTTTTTTACCAACAAGAAGTAATTGTTAGAGCTGTTGTAATCACGTATTTGTCAGGTACTTGTTAAAATAACTTATTTTTCTTTGTAATAATTTTGTGCAATCTCTAATATACCTATTTGACTGCTGTGTTTGATAAAACATCCCAGCTTAGTCCTTGCTGTAATTTTATCTGGATGCTCACCATCTTTAAAAGATAGACATGATTTGTTTTTTTTTTTTTTTTTTGTTTCTATGTTAAAGTTGGAAAATTAAAAAATTAAGTTGTAAATTTTTCTAGGGTTTTTTTTTTCCCCCCTTTATTCTTTTTGTCTTCTCCTCTCCTACTCTCATTTTTTAAGATAAAAAAAGAGGTTTCTTACTACTGGAGGAAATGCAAGATAGTCTCATGATGAACTATGCAGAAATTAGTATCAATTAACCTCATTTGAATTCTAATTTAAGCAGTGTGTTTTATTTCTTCTTAGAGTACAGAGACACACCAAATTCCTTCCATCAGTTTACACAGTCTGATAATTGATCATTGACGTTGGCAAACTGTTGAACACAAAGGTCCAGGTGCCTGTGATAGTGCATAATACGATATATTAGTTTTGTAGGAAATGAGTTTGTTGAGAACTGGTGTTTGTTATTAAGTGGTTTTCATCTTTGTTTCTTTTATTCAACATATCTAAAGCCTGCCTTCCTGAATCATGTTCTTTTATTGTCCTTTCTCATCACTAAAGTCTTCTCTTTCACTACCAGCAACCTCTTGTGTCTTAGTGGTATTAGTGCCTTGATTGGGTTAAAATGATAAAAGTGTGTATCCTAGAAAAGGCATGAACCCACTTCTATCATCAGATGTCTTTTGACAAAAGTTTTCTCACTAGCATACTACAGCTATGTCTGTGATTACTACCTGTTCCATCTTCAGGTGAGCACCTCCAAATTCTCCATATCTCTAAAGTTGCCATGATAGACCAACCAATTAAGCTGTATAATTTGTAGGGGATTGTGTTTGCATTTGGTAATATATCAAATATTGTTTGTTCTTAATTCTCTATTCAATGTAGCTTTCAACTCAGCTCTTTGTCAAATGGTATAATTCACATGTGTAATTTGTTTAGATATTTATAAATGTGAATTAATGATGCAATTAAATATTGCTTCATATTTATAAAGGTTTGTGAATAGATCAAAATTATGACTGCATAAAATATTTCATGAGTTTATAATTATATATACAGCCTAAATATGTCTCTGTATATTTACATTATTATTATAATATTATTTATTATTGTTTATATTAAAACATTAAAAATATACACTGCAATCATTTTCATATGAAAAATTGTTTCTTTTTGTGTTCTTACAGTCGACTTGGAATTAAACTTGGTGATATGAGAGTTTATCATAAAACAGACAGAGGTGAGTAGCATTTTCTTATGTGCCAAACAATAATACTTACTATTATGTTTCTGTATAAAGTTAATACAATTGCCTACTTTTGGTGTTCCTTTACAAGGGTGATGCATAAAAACTTCTCAAGCAGCACTAGTCACTAGTCTTCTTAAAATTTCAATTAATGTACGTTATTATCATCAGGATACTCTCACTTTGGCTAATGGTAGTCTTGCAGTAGAAATTATCATACAGTATTGGTATTGGCAACTTTGCTGTCTTATGCAATTATCAGAGCAAATAGTGGAAACATCTTTACAAATGCCTCTGATTGTAATAAGAATATGTACTATACTGAATTGGTATATTTCTTGCTGTCAGTCTTTCAGGGCTGATGCATTAACCAATTAGGCTACCATGTTTAAGTGAGTTTCTCATCTGTAGTCTTTTTGCCAATCTTTTCTGACTTGATTCCTATTTTCCTAGAGCAGTGGTTCCCAAACTTTTTTCTCTGGGCCACATTTTTGGAATGAAAATTTGCTCTAGCCTCACCAAATTTTAGGTGATATAAAGTACATTTAAAAATAAAAAACAGAAAGGGAGATAACTGTGGATTTGGAGTCAGAACATTATCATTGATAACTCTCTCCAATTTGCACACCTTGGTTATTATATTCTTAATAATGCAAAAATATCACAATGACAAAATTGATCAATAATTATTTATACTGGGACTTGTGTATGCATAATTACAAATAATCCATGATAATATTTGAATTTGTTTCTAAATCTTTAAATGTCTTTCAATCATTCCATCTCACCTGCTATCCTCTTCTGCTGCACCTATAAAGCGCACCATTTGTGAACCACTGTCCTAAAGTGTTTTCAATTACTTTTACCCATTTTATGCAGCTGCTTTATACTTGACTCTAGTTGTTGAACTTCACAAATAAGATATTTGAACTAAAAGCACATGAGTAATTATTGTAATATGAATATGAAACTTTGATTATTTATATCAAAAGTGCAATAATTTTTATTCAAAAGAATTTTAGAAATTTGAAATGTTAAATTGTGAACTCTTTTACTATCTTACACACAATCAGAGGTGTTTGAAGATATGAGAAGGGAATTGCTGTCATGAAGCAACCCTGATTCATTCATTGATTAATAAGTTGAAAGTTTTAATGTGTGCAAGCAAAGAAGTTTAGTAACAATTGAAATAAGGATTGACACTGTCATAAGGGCTTCACTAATCAAGAGGGGAAACAATCTGGATTTAGTTATGACTGACAAAGAACTGAAAAGGTTTTAAATACTTCCACTCAAGCATTCATACAATCTCTTATGTGAAACCTTTTTAGTAAGTATGTCCAATACTTCACTAAAAAAGAGCATACCCTAATCAAAAAAAGGCCCCAAACTTGATTAAACAATTTTTTTATCGCCTAAATGTTTGTTATTATTAAGAGGAAAGACCAAAGTATTTTTTGAATATTTTTAATTTTTTAATCCTTTCTAGCACATCTGAAATTTTAGATTTTTTTTTTTTCTTGAGTCATCAAAATTGATGTAAAATCAATCATGTCACCCACTATTGACAATTTTGTAAGCAAAAGTGAATTTCGCCATTTAAAAGTCTTTTAAAATTCAATTATACTTTTTCAAAAGTTATTTTAGGAAAATTAGAAAGTTTAAAGTATACTTAATGTAATTTGAAACAAACATTAATTAAATTTTTAATAGAATAAATTTAGTTGGAAATAAGCATGTCTCACTATGGTGATTGGTTTTCGAGGTGTGAATTGATGTTTATATCAATGTATTGACAACTGACGTTAGGGCAATTTATTGGATGGAAGGGCAGAAGTGACATTATTTTTAATTTTTAAGTAAACCAGCTTATTTACCTATAAAGTAATTCTTAAAAATTAAATACTTTTAAAAGTATAGTATTTATTGATTTCTTTTAGGTACTTTTTTAACAAAGATTTGTCCAAAGCCTGCACTGTTTTTGTCCCTAAAATTGAATCTAAAAAAGAAAAATTTTTAATTGCAGTATGTCTTTCACTGAAAGAGAAATAAATTATATTTAAAAAATGAAAAGAAAATATTTAGTGAAATGTGTCTTTTAAAAAATTAAAATTAAAAATTTTGAAAATACAATGATAATGGTTGGTGAGTCGGAGAATTTGATACACTATCAGGAGAAATACCTCACGCACACATGACATTATTTCAGAATTGTGCTTTGGTAGCTTTGCCGGGAGTGGTTTTAATACATTTTTTCGTATATTAAAACAATTATTGTAAAAATGCACAATTTCACAGATTGTAATAAGCTTTCAAATTTAAGATCTGTAAAAAGTAGATCTTTTAATAAGAGTATTTCCTAAGACACACTGCTTCAAATTTAATTTTAAAATATTTAACAAGTTTATCGCATTTTGCATTTAAAATTAAAAAAAAAAAAAAGACAATTCTTGTAAAAATTCATTTTTCATTGAAAAAATATTTTGGCTTCAGATAAAAATGTCTTTAATATATATTATTCAGAAAAGCCATTAAAAGCCTTTTTAATGTTTTAGTTTTATTGGTTTTTGTATTTTACAATTCAGAGCTAAAGTTTGAGTAGAACAGTTAATAATTGATTTACAAAAAATATCAATGATTTATATTCTTCAAAGTCTTCTGCATTTAATAAAAACAAATACAGAAATTTACAGTTTGGGATTTTCATAAAATTAAGTAAGTTGGGGGTAATAGATGTAAAAAAAAAAATACCGTGAATTTCTATTAAAAAAAAAAAAAAAAAATTAAAAATAATTTCATTCATTTTTTTAATAAGTTCTGAAAGTTTCATTAAAATCCGACTACTATTTGATTTTTGCAAGAATTTCCAAATTAATGTTTTTTTCAACTGAAAAAAGCCCCCCAAAAAACTAATGCTAAACATTACACAACCTTTGACCTTTAAAAAAAAAAAGAAAAAGATTTTTAACCAAAATTTCAAACATGCTAGAAAAGAATAAATTTTTTAAAAATCAGAAAATACTTTGGTCTTTCCTCTTATTAATAACAAAGTTTTGTCAGGAAAAAAGACAAACAAACATTTTCATGATAAAACTTTATTTTTATTAAGTTTGGGGCCTTTTCATCATGCTATGTTATTGTTTTGTTTTTCTTTTTTTTTTTTGTGTGTGTGTTTTTTGCGAATTATTAAACATAACTTCTTTGTAGTCAGGCACTTTAGGGTTCCAATTTTTTTTGTAATTTCTGAATGGTTATACAAGTTCTGTATATTGAACAGGCAATAGTCAGTCATTCAGAAAAGTTTCTGCAGGAAATCTTGTAGATATTCACACAATTTGTACAGTAGTGAATGAAATGGTAATTCTAGGCTACATCAATGTCATACCTTTTTGTTTTTTCAAATTTCAGTTAAGATATCTTCTAATTAAAGTTACCATCCAGCTGTATGAAGAAATAAATCACAGAAATCAAATTAGAAGAGACTTTGGAACATTTGTAATAAGAATGAATAGAGAAAATCAGATTAATAAATGATTTTTTTTAAAATCAAGTAAAATTAAAATGTTACATTTAGTTATAAGAAGCATGGTAAAAATTCCATATAAATTTTTATTTGTTAGAAATAAAAATACAGATTACACAAAAATAAAGTTGATCATTAGTCTATTTGCTTTTATGAAAAAAAATTTCATTGAAGAAAAAGTTAAATTAATTTCCAAGTAATAAGATCAAGTTTTCAAAATTACTTTTATTTTTTTTTATTTATTTTTTTTGTGAATTTTGGACAAAATAAGATTTGTTTTTTTTTTTTTTGTTTTTTTTTTTTGTAATGAAACAATAATATAGCAAATTTGAAATTAATAAATAAATCTTATACTTACTTCAGTTGAATAAGCTCAAGTTATTGCAAATGTAAAAAATAAAATTTTCTTAAGCTAACTACATCAGCAAACTACTGCAACCTCAAATCAAAACTAAGTCTTCACTTCCAGTGGAATAATGAGGTTTGAGATCGGTCTCCAGTTCTGAGCAATAGTTGCACTATGAGTTGGCTTTTAGTAAGGAACACCATGAGAATAACACTGGTAAATCTGCATTGTGAGCCTAATTAAGCTTAAAACTTCATTGACAGATTTATATATAGTATAATGTTAATGGAATGTAAACTATACAATGTTCATTCTAAATAAGGCATTTTGCATCCTCAATAGAATTTGTTTTGAACTTGGTTTTAGCTACTAATTTTTACATCTTTATTAATAAGTCTTTAAGGTCAACTAGATAGGTTCACCTATTATCTGGTTCACAGTCTTTTGAACAGGTTTATCCTTTATTTCCTGTTTAAAATTGGGTTTCCAGTTCCTTCTAAAGTCTTCTCATTTTCTTTCACTCCCAATAGCTCATTGCATCTTAGTGGCATTATTGCCTTGCTTGGAGTGAATGTGTTAAAAAGAAAAAAACTTCCATATTTTTTTCTTCATTATTTATTTTGCTTTATTTTTGCAATTAATTTCTAGTTAACTATCATTTTCATTTGATATGGATATATTAAAAAATTGTTAATACTATTTTTGTTGTACAACTGAAAGACATGCACATTTACAGCAGTAATCATGACAACATAAACAAAGACAAATGAGGACAGTTGTGTTTTTCTTTTTCTTTTTTTTCTCTTTCTGTTTTTTCTTTTCTCTCTCTTCTCTTTTTTTTTTTTTTTTTTCTCTTTTCTCTTCTCTTTTCTCTTGTGACAAAGAATAGTGCTTATCAGTCTAACAGGTCAGTCAGCCAAGGGACATGGGTTGACCTTAGCCTCTCAGTGTTTATATAATTTTCAGTTTTATTTGAATGCTGTATTTTCTGAGCAGACAAACTATAGTCTAAATAAGTGGGATTAATAATTAAATAAGTTAAAATCTCTTGAAAATGTTTTTTTTTTTTTTTTTGTTACTGAAAGTGACTTCTGCATAATTGGAAAAAATGAAATCCTGGCACAAATGTCAAGTTCCTCAAAGAGGAAATTTAGCATATTAAACTTTCTGGTGTGTTACTCACTTTTAAAAAAAATCATTATTATGCTTGCTTTCTATCGCATGTGCACACACACACACACAACTGGAAACTTGTCATTGCCAGTGTTAAGTATTGTCTATACAAATATTAAATAATCTAAGACATGGTAACAGGTTCTCTTGTAAACATTTCATTGAAAATGGCTGACATTTTCTCTAAATATTTTAATAGTTTTTTGTACAAAGTTTTACAGCTCTTCTATTCACTTGAAAGTGAATATGACACTTGTTCCAAATTTAGCATTTCCAAGTGGGTTTCCAGAAAACACCTTACCAGAAGTTGACTTTTTATTCTTTAATTAATGTCACTTGTTTCTGTCTGAATCCTTAAGGATTTAAGGGTGTGCATATGGTGTAATGGACAGCAGCTTGAAACGAGAAATCAGAGAGCTGGGTTCAAATTCCAGTCAAGTTTAGTTACATTCACTTTCTTTGGGAAAGATATGAATCTATGAATACCCCTCCCCTCCACAAGAGTTGGGTAGACTGGGCTCTTCAGCCTTAGATGGCAATCAGTCTAGAATAAGAATATCTCTGAATTCAAAACCATGTGTAGCTCTGGCAAAGCGCATACTATGCAGCTAATGACAAGATCATGGAGTTTACAATGACTCTATGATTCCCCCCCCCCTCAACTGCGGTCAGCTTTGATTGACTAATTCTGTCTGAATAAAGGGTTCAGTTTGAAATTCCCAAAAGAAGGCCTAAACATGTTTGTAACATCATATATGAGATTTATCTATAAGCCCACATTGCATAAGGTTGACAAGGTTGAGTTTTATGTGGGCTTTTAGAAAAATTGCTGAAGCCCCACTGTCACTACTCCTTTTCAGGACAACCAAGTAACAACCCCCAACCCCCTCTCTAAGGAGAGGTACTGCCTGAGTGTATAGGCCTCTGGGTTTCAAACTAATATTAATTTTGAAACTACCCAGCCATGGTTCAGGTAATTTAGTCTTTTTATTGCTTATTTTTAAATTAATATTCAAGTGAAAATAATTAGTTTTAATCCTTCACTCTTTTTGGAATTGGAAATAAATTTAGTTTATCTTTGAGTTTTTATTTTCTTTTGGTCAACATCAGTTTCTAAGACCTGTACTAGTTTCGTATTAATCATCATATGCAGTTAATAAAACTAAATATAATTGACAAAAGCTGTCAATTTAAGATAAAAAGGTAATACCTCCTATCAATCATATCATACCTCGTTCATCATAACCATTTTAACAGTAACCCCTACCTAGGTCAGTGGTTCTTAACTTTCTGCTCAATGCATCCTTTTCATTATGTCAGAAAGTCATTCTTCCCCTTTCCAAGATTGTGCATTCCAAATAATATGCATATATTATTGAAAATCTTCATTCTTTTTCCATATTAGTACATATACATTTACATAGATTATTTTTATAGAAGAATTTTACAAATTTAATAACAATGGAAAACGTTGATGGATTTTTAAACTTGAATACATGTATAGTAATTTGTTTTAATTCATAACTAATTATTATATAAATAAACTGAAGCATAAAAGTTCAATTGAATGACAAGGTATTGTAATTCTGTAAATGAAAAAAAAATTTCCCTCCTCCAATGAAAGACTGGAATTCCCCCACCTCCAATTGAAAACTGCTGCTCTAGTTTGAATAAACAAGCTGGCCTAAAACTTTTAATACTAAACAAAACATTGTGACTTAATTGAAATGAAATTGTCTGTGCATGTTTTTAAACAAATGATGGCAGATTTAATTAAATCTTTTCCAGTTGAAAAAGAACCCACAATTTAAAGAGTTTTGTTCTGATGAAACTTGGTGCAAATAAATTTGTATGTTTATTTTTTATTTTATTTTTTTTCTTCAGAAACTAATGTTGAAATTAAAGAATCTGTACGAGGCAAAGATGTCTACATCATTCAAACAGGAACTAAGTGAGTAAAGGGTTGCTACCATGTTGTCTCCTTAAAGCCTATATACCTCTTTACTCTGCATGAAGCACCAGATTATTAATCCCACTTCAGTAGAATTTTGTGCAATTTAATGAAAGAAACATAATTAGAAACTTCCTTGTTACATTACAACAAAAACTGATAATTAAAATATGTTGCAAGAATATATTGCAGGCCCATTAATTAGAAGTGTAAAACAAATTCTCTACTTTGTAACAAACTATCAATACAAAATGCAAATTTTGAAAATTTTCATATTCCTCAGCTTTTTTCATGCTGACTGAATTTAAACCAAATATTATAATGAAACCCTTGTATTTACATTTAAAGTTGGAGCATATTTTATGTATTTGTTTCTTATGTATCCAAGTTTATTTCAAAAAGGGAAAAGTTCAATTAAGTTTTAACAGAAGAAAAATATAATACTAGCAAACTTCAAATTTTAAACTCAAAAGAATAAATTATATTTAGAATAAATGGAAGAAGATTGGGTATTGGCTCAGTAGTGCAGAAGATATTGAACTCTGTGTTGGAGAGGCCAAAGTAAATACCTATTTATTCTTATGTAGTAGCAGCAGCAGCAACATATGGACATCATCATTCTTATTAGGGATGATGATGATGCTGTTGAATTTAAGATCAAATTTCAGTTTGATGATAACAATTTTCATGGCGTCACTGGAAAAAATATTTAGTAGCAGAAATTCCTGGCATTGCACACAAACTGATCTGATTTTTTTTCTCACAAGCACAAAATAAGAACCTGATTTGGTATCATATTTACATTATAAATCAAACTTTTAGCTGTGGTTCAGTTTTAGTTATGTCCACATTTTTTTTAAAGTGGACACAAAATCAGGGTTCAATTTTACCATAAAGATATATTGTAAACTTTTGTTGTCATAAAATGGACACAAAATCGGAGTTCAGTTTTATCTTAAAAATATGCTGTAAATTAAATTTTTGCTAGCATAAAAGTGAACACAAGCTCTCATTGTGGATCTACCTTACTCACTTCTCCAAAAGAAATGAAAGTCAAGTGCAAGCAAAGCCGATCAACACCTATTCCTCCCCTAAACATGTTATTAATAAGATGATTTCAGAGTTTCTGTGCTGTTCCGCACATATATAACATCTTTAACACAAGAAGAAAACAGTAAAAGACAATGAAATTACAATTTTCTTGTTCATATTGTAAAGGGCGATAAAGATTTTTTTGTGATAATGAATTCCTGCAGATAATTGAATATGTGTTGTGACTCTTGCAATGTAGACATGAAGTATAAACCTTTATGATCATTTATTGATATATGTATGGCTGATAAATCTAATCATGTTGTTTATATAGACTTACAGGATTGTGTATGTAATCTTAGATTTTTTCATGTGATTGACTCCACTGCAATATATTATGTATCTTATTTGATTTTTACTAAGCATCAAGATGAAATTATGTCAAACAGTTACCCAGTGTGAATAGCATATTTTGGTGCACCTAGGAAATCTTCTTAAACAGTAACTAAGAAGAATTTTTTAATAATAAATATGAAGAACAAATGAAAAATAGAAAAATTTCAATGGTAGCAGGTGAACCCTCATTCAGTAATGGTATTGTGAAATGGCATAACCAAATATTAAATCACTTGGTATCTAAAATAGCTTTAAAGGAATTGTTTCAAAGGAGACAGTCAAAATGTTTTTGGTTGATACTAATTCCTTCCACCTTTTCAACCTTAACATTGAAGAAATATTAAACATTCTGTACTAAGGTTAAATTATCAAATATTCCAAATAAAATTGAGGACAAAAAATTTTGGCAGATTCAGTCACAAAAGAGTGACTCTATGTTTAAATTGTTAGCAGTTCTTAGAACATCTCAACTGAAGACTAAATAATTTTGTCGATGTTCACACTGAATAAAAGTCTAGCAACTTCACATAGAAGCTGCTATGTTGGTACTATGATTATCTCCCTTGTCCTGCATACGCTTGCTGCTTGCCTTTTCATTGTTTTGGCATATCCAGAGATGGCGACTTGGGCACTTCGACATGGTGGTAAAGTTTATCAAGCTTGTCATGATAAATCAGTTACAACTGAATGCTCCTTACTTTTGGCCTTATGCTGACATATAAGCTACACTTAGTAAATTGTTATAAAGATAGTAACTTTGTGTTATCTTCTTTTTTATTGCCAGCACCGTAAACAACACTTTCAAGGCATAAATAGCTTTATTTTAATAACCAAACAAATATAAAAGCATCAACAAAATGATCATTTATTTATATAATCATAAAAGACCAGATTGTCAATGAAAGTTATTTTTTAAAAATTGAATTTTAAAGCTGAATATGCAAATTAGTTATCTTATTTTAACCAAGACACATTAAGTTAGCCAAAATATAAGATGCCTGCTGCTTGATATAAATGATAGAACCACGTCTTTTGTTAGTTTTTTTATGTCACAGTTTTGTATATTTGCATGCATAAAAACAACCAACTTTATATCTAATTTTCACTTTCAAGCTTTCACCTGTGCATATTAGATTACTACTTCAGTCTCATAATAATTATTACATTTGCATACAAATTTCATACACTTTTTATATATAATGGTAATGTTTGTTTTTGGCTGGAGATCTTTTATAAGTATCTTTTTTTTTTTTTTTTTTTTAAAATTAACTCTGAGAGACTTTTGTACATCATATTGTCAGAATATCTCAGCCATTCCACAGTATTCATTGTTTTCATCCCTGTCTATAAGTTGTTTTGAATTAGCATCTAGTTCATTGTCAGAGAATTTATATAGATATTATGGTTCTTCAAAAGTATGTACATAATGTTTCTTGATGAGCACTGCCATATTTTTTTAAATGCCATGATGTTTTTGACTACATATTAATTGCTAGGTCAAATATATTAACAGTAAGCATAAATATTGAGACTGTGAAAATATGTCAAACTAGAATTCATTACAAAAATGAAAAAATTAAATTGCATGATATATCGGTAAAATATTTTATCAGTTGCTCCAAGACAAAAAAAGATCTGGCTATATCTCTGAGATGTGGTATTATGATTACTTACATCATTTGAACTGTTATCCTCATTGCCATATTTATAATGCTCATTGCATGCTCATTTTTCAGGTGATTGCAATTTTGAATCAAACCCTTTATTTTGTCCACTGGCGTAAATTGTTCTAGTTCCACGTGCCACGACAGATGTCTCAGTTATTTCCCTTTTAACTCAACACAACAAATTTTGAGCCAGGTATTGAACTTACAACTCTTTGGGTCTAGTCACTGGATCTAACCAACATCTTTACCCACTGTGCCATGTGTCCTTGAGGACATCTGTGTATGAATTTTGGGGACTTATAAACCTAATGTCTCAGCAACTATTTTTTTTTTACCAGTGCTCATATTGCAATTTTTCTGTTGTTATTATTATTGCATTTTTCATTTCATTGCTTTTCTCTAGCACTCCTTATTACTGGTTCCCATATTGTATTCATATCTATGCTTGGTCGACTCAGGAGATTTTTGTGGCCTAGCATATGTGCTGATTCCTTAAGTTTTTGTATTTTCCAGTGATTATTTCAATGATTATTTATCTATTATTTCAACTTCACCCCACAGGGGGCAGTGATCTCCCTTTTCCCTCCATATGTGGTCAGCTACACCTGATTTTTCTATTTCCCCTTGTGTTACTGTTTTACGATGTTCTTGCAGTCTTACCTTAAGGGGGCAGCCTGTTTCTCCTTTGTATTTCCAACCACAGCTACACAGGGTGGCATACACACAGTCCTTAGTCATGTTCTCAATGTGTGGTCTTATGCAGAAGAGGTGTCTGCCAAGTGTTGAACCACTTTCGAATATTGTCCTGATATTATATGGATCACAGATCCTTTGTAATTTCTCTGATAATCCCTTCACATAGGGTAGGCAGACTGTTATCTGAGTGCTGTTATCCTCTTGTACCCTTCTATACCTGTTTGTTGAGGCTGCTGTCATGTACCCAGGGTAGTTGTTACGTTGTAGGGTACTGCTTATACTGACCATTTCTTGTTCATATGTCTCTGGGTTGCCACTTATGACTTTTGCTCGATGTTGTAAGCTGCAGATGATCTCTTTCTTTACACTGTATGGATGTTGGGAGTTGATGTATTGTCCGGTGAATGTTGGCTTGCAGTATACAGATGTCTTGAACCCCTGCTCTGTTCAAGATGTGAGTACATCCAGGAAGGCGAGTTTTTTATCATTTTCTCATTCCTTTGTGAACTGTATCGATGCTCTTAAGTTCACATGGTCCAGTAGTATCTGGACATCAAATAAAGATTCTCAGAAGATATCTTGCTAGCCAATTCCTAGTGTTTAAAATAATTCTAGTTTTACTACATTTAAAGTTAATCAAGGGAGACTTGTCCCTCTCAGATTTAATTTCATCTAACATTAAAACAGTTATGATAATGGCACCAATATTCAGAGAACTTAAAATAATTACTTGGTTACTTATTTCAGTGCATTATTTTATTTTACTTACCTACATCTGGTAGAAAGGCCTATGATTGAGAGGTTTTGAGGAACATAGAACCACCTCTTAATTGCTGTTGTTCCCAGCTGATTCAGGATTAAGGTCCCCAAACTGGGGTAAAAACACTATGAAAGTATAAAAATGCATTTTCATAGTGAAAATTGCCAGCAATAGATTTCTAGCAAGGAAATTAAATTTCAGCATTAAATGACCAATAACAAGTTGATATGCCATTAAACAAACTAAACTAGTATACTTACAATTATTGCCACATATCGCAAACAATAGTTAGTACATTATTTAAACAGATTAGCCTTAAATAATCAACGGTACATTTTTATAGTCACCTATCACTTATTGTCAACTAAAACTTTTTACATTTATACAAGTAGCAAAGTAATCATTTTAAGTAACACAGTTAATCAAAATAAGTGCTGTGTAATTTGTTGTTTAATATTCTTCTAGTTGGTCATCATTTTGCCTTTATTTTCTGCAAAGCCTTAATCTCTCCCTCTCCCACTCCTATTTATCTCCCCATTTTTTGCCTAGGTTCTTATTTTTTAATCTTTTTAAAATAATTTCTTTAAATCATCAAATCAAAGCTTGTCAGGCATTTATTTGGTGTTCAGGAATGTAATTTAGAGTAAGCAATTTTTATTCCGTTCATTGAAGTGATTTCCAAGCGTAGCTTAGATGTGATGTAGTTGTTCTAGCGAGGCAATCTTGCTAACCATTACACCACCTCAGGGTGCCCAATTCTGTTCGTTGAAATAAGAATATTGTTTCCTCCACTCCTGATATATAATTATTTAACTTTAATTCATTATTTAAACTACAGTTTAGATGTTTGTCTTTTAAGAAATGTCTTCTCTCTCTCAGGATAATGGTGTCTGTCAACAAAAATAAATAAGACTGAAATCTGCTGCATGATTTCATAGCCATATTGAAAAAGTCACCTGCCGTTTTGTGGCCACACTGGGAAAGGCACCCATCACTTTGTGGCCACACTGAGAAGAGTGCCCGTCACTTTGTGGCCACACTGGGAAGAGCACCCGTCACTTTGTGGCCACACTGGGAAGAGCACCCGTCACTTTGTGGCCACACTGGGAAGAGCACCCGTCACTTTGTGGCCATATTGGGAATGGCACTAGTTGCTTTGAGAATAGATCATTGGAAATCACTGCCAAATAATGTTATTTTTCTTCCCTCTGAAACCTTAAATCCAACACTATGACGCAATGATCTTACTATTAAAGTTATGTGTGCACAAGTTAAAAAAAAAAAAAAAATCTACTGTTCAAGGCTATGAGATGAAATAATAAAAAATATCATTGTAATTGTTTCAATTTCTCTTTCCCACCACAGAGAGGTGAACAATGATATATGGGAACTGATGATCATTGCTTACGCTTGTAAAACAAGCTGTGCCCGTAACATTGTTGGAGTGCTTCCCTACCTTCCATACTCACAGCAATGTAAAATGCGAAAAAGAGGATCTATTGCTTGCAAGCTGTTGGCCACTATGCTTTCCAGATCAGGTAAGTAGACAATCTTTTGCATTTTACGCTAAATGATAAAGAAATTAGCAGTTCAAGAATAGATTGACTAAAATGTAACAAAACAGAAAAATAAAATCAAAGATATATAATGAAAATACTTTATTTCAGTTTGGATTGGTATAGTTTATTTTGTTTTACAGCATATCAACCTCAATGGTTTATTTAATGCTGACAAAGTTTTTAGGATATGTTCCTATGAATAGAATATATATTTTTTGTAAGAAATCCATTTGTAGATCAGGTTTTGACATATTTTTGTAAAGAGGGCTTTTATCGTGAGTCACCTCTATTGCTGGTGACTTTTTTTTTTTTTTTTTTTTTAAATATATTGCTAGTAATATTTTTTTTTCTATTTAATGCTGGTATTTTTACTATAGAAATCAATTTTTATACTTTCATAGTGTTTTGACCCCAGTTTGGGGGTTCACTATTTGCCCATAGCTGGGACCCTAACCGGTGCTACAACCCTGGGTCAGGGTAAACCTGGGAACAACAGCAATTAATAGGTGGTTCCACACTTCTCAAAATCTCTTGATCAGAGGCCTTGCTGTCAGACGTAGTTTATAGTCATGGGACATCTTATTACTAAAAGATAGTTAACAATACAGCGTGGAATAAAATAAGCCGGTTCTTGTATAACCACTGAATTTAAGCAATGTCATGCCTAATCAGTACCTAAATGCGTGGCCACTTTCGAATACCAGGTGCTGTAAGTTTGGATGTGCAGGTAGTATGATGGATAATGCCTCTGAATTGGAAATTGAATAGCTTAGTTCCAATTCCAGTTGGGTTCATTATATTCACATACACGCAGATAACCTTGCACAAGGTGTGACTCCACCTCTTCCCTCCAGCTGTGGATTAATTAGTAGGACTTGTATCAGTAAATCATTATTTCCAAAAAATTCTTACGATCTAAAACTATTTTCTGGCTTTAAATAACCTGCAAAAGCTTGATAAATCATAAAAAAGAAACAAATCAATAAAGTAGGAAGAAAAGGAGTTACAGATTTTCTTATTACAGATTTAACAGCTAAAATGCATAAGGCAAATTTCTTGAAAGATGTGCATGAAATGCAAATTTGTTTCTTTTCAAAAGTTACTTTATTCTAGATTCTTGAATTTAATGATTGATAATCAGCTTTAAAAAAAAAAAAAAAAGTTATGATGATAAACAATGAAGCTAATGTCAAAATACATGAAAACTCCAGTTGAATACAATTCCATTTAGCACATTATTGACATGCTAACAATTTTTTATTCAAAAACTCAAACAGTCCAACCAGAAATTTAATAAGCATAATTATTAAGGGCAGTCAAAATGATTTAGTTTCCAATAAAATAAATTTTTGATTTCATTTTCTCCCCCAATTTTATTTTATTTTTTGTATTTTTTTTTTTTTTTTTACATGGGACTCTGGTATGTATTTGTGCACATTTAAGAACAGTGACAGGTAAACACACAAGTTTTTAAATATCTAAACCAAAATCAAGTAATTAGATTCCAGTAAAATTTTTAGAATTTATTAATGAAAAATCTATTTTGTAAGAAATATATTTGAAAATATTTCTTTAAGTCGGTCAACCCCCACTTGATTTATATTTAATTCAACTAAAAACCACTCTTCTATAATTATCCAGACAGTAAGAGAAAAAGACCTCTACAGTCACCTTTGATATTGTTCAGTTGTTATTAAAAAGTAATCAGGTATATGAAGTAATAAAATATAATGGTTCAGATTTGTAACTTTTTTGAAAGTAAAGGAAAAAGTGTCAGTACAAATGAAAGAAAATGAAAACGGCTAAAAATTTGCTGCTGATTTTTGGAAACAAAGTTAATTTCCTACAAAATTTGAATACCATCAAGTAGTTCTAATTAATTAAATCAAACTGTCATTTGTAATAGTCATTAATAGAAATGCTAATTTCCTTAAAACTGAATATCCAATTCACGATTCATTTCAACTGTAAAATGATGAGATCTAGTATTGTGCTTAAATTCATAAAGTCTAAAGACATATATTTAGAAAGATGTCTTGTAGACCCTATGTTAATACACCAACTAGAAAAATTGTTCTAAAATGATTACCATATTTCCCATATGCTAAGAAGCATCCTGCCTCTTAGCACTGAAAGTCAAATTGTTAAGAAGAGCTTGCCAACCCTCACAAAACCTCCGTCATGAGATACAAATCATCACAAACTCCAAACATGTAATATAAGCCTACAATTATCATTCATATGTAATAAATACTGTATATCCTGTTAGTATCACCAAATATATTGATGATAACCAGTTGGTAGCACTGTAAGTCTTTTGTTCATCTAGGCCAGTGGTTTTCAACCTTTTTGCTGGAGTGGAACCACAAGAAAATATTCCAGTGGCTCGAGGAACCCCTGCAATTAAAAATTACTGTCAATCATAGTACTTGTGTAACTTCTTGCGGAACCCCTGGGCTTTACTGGCGGGACGCTAGTGTTCCACAGAACCCTCATTGAAAACTACTGATCTAGGCATACCATATGGTATCTTCACAAATCCCAACCCCAGCCAAGTAATACAGGCTGACAGTTCTGTTGGGTATCCCCCTGAGCAAGTTGAATGGACTCTCCCAAGAGTTACTTAAAAGAAAGTAACTACAATCTCAGGGTTAGTTTAACGATCAATGTCCTTACTTGTCAATTCCTGGTACCTACTATCCACCATGTTTGTTTATGGTAATATCTCACTGATGCTATGTGCAGACAGACAAGCCAATTACCATCATTGAAACAGACAAGTACAACTTGTTTCTGATCTGAGTAGGCAACTTGGACTTGCTAGTATGATAAGCTATAAAACCCTCAAATACTTTTTTTTCCAAAGAATACCTACCTAATTATTGGGCGTGTCTTACCACTTGTAGCAGGAAATATGATATATCGTACTTGTTATAAGGATACCCAACAATTTGTTGAAAAACAGAAAAATAAAATTGTTATTCCAATTGCTAATGAATAGTTTTTAACTCTTAATCTTGTATGTGAATTGTGTTGAGAACAAAATTGAAATAGTGCTGATCCTTAGGGATTATGAAGTTTGAGATTGGAGACATGACATCCCTGCTGGATATTGCACCTGTTATTGGTAGTTAAGATAAATTTTGCAACACATTAATATTATTAATATGATAACTGTAAACTATATAATAACATTTAAATAGTTATATGTTTGTAGGCAATCTTTCTTTAATTTTTCTCCAAAAAAAAAAAAAAACTTGCGAGGAAGTTATATTTCTTCTGTCTGTCTGTATCATTAAGTGACAGAAATATTAGCTAGTTTTGTAAATGCAAACTTTTTATTGATTCCTCTAACTTTTGCTCAGGGATGTCAGCATTTTTCTTCAGGTCTCACGCACATCATCACCATGGATTTACACCAGAAAGAAATTCAAGGTTTCTTCAATGTTCCTGTTGATAACTTGAGGGCATCCCCATTTTTGATACAGTATATTGTTGAATCGGTGAGTGCAGTGTGTCTGAAAATTGCTAACCTGAATTTCTATGCTATTGGCACCAAATCAAAATTCATGCCTGTTATAAAATTTAATAAGTAATTTCAAAACTTGTCTTACATAAGCAACTCTAAGTATCTTGTTTATTATTTGTATTAGTATACTCCTTTGTACTTACCTATGTATGTTTGGTATTCGTAACCCTTTCTAAACTCTCCCCAAACACATTGACTGTTATCTCTTTACTGTAACATTCATGCCGCAAAAAAATGCCCATTTGTTTTCTTTTTTTTTTTTTTTTTTTTTTTTTTTTAAAAAAAGATCCAAAACCAAGTTCAATAATTTGTCATAATCAGTATTTAGGCACAAATGATTTTGTTGCTTTTTCATCAGCCTGTACATTGCCAGAATTATTCAAGTAGGACAGAAAGAGAAGGAATTTTTTTTTTTTTTTTTTTATTGAAAAAACAAAAATTATCATAGTGTTTTTTATGAGACCCATTATATATAAAGAAATGACAATTTATAAATGCATAAAGAAATATAAATATTGTACATTCAACGTAGAGTATTATGTATATTTTTTAATATATTAAATAGCTCTGTTATTTAACATTGAGCACTTTTTTCCTTACACTATAGAGTATGTACATATAAATGCTTACTCATACATTTACCTATATTTACCGATTTGATTTTTTATATATATATATATATAAGTGTAAAACTTAATATTACTAGACATATTAAAAACGGGCAAAGCAACCGGTTTCAGTCCCGCTATTCAGGCTTCAACAGGAGATTTAATTTAAGAAGAGCGGGAGCGAAACCAGTTGCTTCGCCCGTTTTTAATATGTCTAGTAATATTAAGTTTTACACTTTTATTTCTATCATTAAATTTTGTACCTACAAAAATATCTTTAAATATATATATATATTGTGTGTATAAAAAATTTCAGATAGGGTATATCTGTAAAGTGATAAGATGAATAAAGACAGAAGGAAAACTTGTCTTATCTCGCGTGTTTCATCCTCTGATGGACTTTATCAAGGCAAATGTAAGGATTTTATTTTGCAACAAGTATTTACATACAAAAACAAAAAAATATTTACACATTTTTGTTTATTAGACATTGAACTGTATTACCTCATGTCCATGAACTTGCCTGACTTTTTTGTTAAACTGATGAATATTCATCAGCACTCCCATACCCCAAAATTTTGAAAAACCAATAACATTTTTGTTCTTGTATATAAGTAGTTGTCACAAAATAAAATCCTTGCATTTACCTTGATAAAGTTTCCTCAGAACAAAACATGCCAGTTAACATAAGTTTTCCTTTTGTTTTTATTCATACACACACACACACATATATATATATATAAAGAAGCCACAATTTAAACTTGTAAATGAAATATCCTTTTTGCTTTTCTCTTCTCAATAAAATATTTGAATAAGCCTTGTCTGTTTGTAAATTCCAAAATGTCACTATGAAATTTACACTGAGCCTTTAGGTTAATAAAAGAATCCTGATTAGAACCCTCAGTATAATCCCAGATTAATATAATTTCATGACTAATTTTATTTTGTCTCACCCATTTTTAATAATTAAATGTAGAATAAAGAATAGACATTACTTATATATATTGTTCCTATTTTTATTACCAAGTTCATTTTTTCTTCTTTTAATAATTCCGAGTTAGAAAAGCTAATCCGTGGAAATATTTGATTAAATGTTTCTGTCCACAGATTCCTGACTACCGAAATGCTGTGATAGTATCTCGAAACCCTAATTCTGTGAAACGTGTTACCTCTTATGCTGAGAGACTTGGTTTAGCCATTGCTGTTATTCATGGTGAAGAGAAGATGGAAGGAAGTGGAGAAGATGGTAGAAATTCTCCACCTTTGCCCAGCCAAGACCGTGGCCGACTTACTTATGGACTTGAGTATTTGCCAAGTAAAGCATTTTTTTTTTTTTTTTTTTTTTTTAAATGTCAAACAGGATTTCTTTTTGTTTTTTAATCAATTTATATTCACAATTTCCTATTCAGGAAAACTGGAAAAAATATACATTTTATCAAAGACTGAATTCAATAAAAAAAAAAAAAATGAAATATATTCAAGAATTTCCAGAGTGCTTGACTTCACTTCCCGAATTTGAGCATAAAGTAAGCCTCATCTGGTTAAAAACAAAAATAATTTTACAAAATAATGGTTAATTTTTCATATTTGAAACAGAAAGTAATCTCTACATAATATTTTTCCTCTTTCTCCCTTTTATTTTTATATATATATATATATATATATATATATATATATATATATATCTATATATAAGACTGACACAGTTTTTATTTAATTTTTCTTGTGTACTTATAATTTTCTGAATATAAATTACTTTGTCAGTCATATTTAATGAAACTTGTATAAAAGAGAGATTGCTACCCAAATACATAATTTTATATATATGTGTGTGTGTGTGTGTGTGCACATACACGCACACAGTAAGAATACAAAATAAAACTTAAACTCTAAAATAAACTAGGGCTCAATGCCAATGTTCACCGAGCCTAAATATAATATTATTATCAATACCAAGCTTTTTGAGTTTGTCTATATTTCTGAGATGAGGTATTATGTACAGTATTTACATTAGTCGGACTATTGTCCTCATCTTTGTCGCCATATTTGTCACAACGTTTGGGCCGTTTATGCGCTCCGGCCTTCTTCAGGTGGTTGGAATTTCGAACTGAACCCTTTATTTCGATCACCGGGGTAGACTGTTCTAATTCCACGTGCCATGTTTGATGGATGTCAGTTATCAGTTATCTCCTGCTAATTTTCCCTCTGAAAGTTCTCCACTGCCTTAACCAGGAATTGAACTCACCTTCTTTGGGTCTGTCACTGGATCTAACCAACGCCTTTATCCACTGTGCCATGTGTCCTTTTGATCTTCTTATTCAGTTGCTACACTCATCCATTGTTGCATACAGAGGCTTACTTGGAGTATTAGGATTTCAAGGTTGTTAACTGTGTGCGAATCTTCAAGATTGAGGCAAACTAGAAAATGAATTATATTATTATATACAAAGTCTTCCAAAATAATGTATACACACTTCAGGAAAGGAAAAACTTGTATAGATATAATACTAAATTTAATCAGACATCATAAGATTAATACAAGTTACCTTTGGACTCTGCAATGACAAGGGATGCTCAAGATGATGGCATTTAGCTTCCAGATTTATTAGTACAGCAAAACTACTTCTTGGGCAACATTGACCAAAGTATCCATTGGGATTGCTGCATATGCATTTTTAATTTCTTGTTGAAGGGCTGCCAATGTAGTCAGTTTTCTGTGATGCACAACTTTCTTTCGGAATTTTGATGCAACAGCTATGAATGTAACACCATCTGTCAAGAAAATATCATACTATAATAAACATTGTTATAGCAATTTGATAAAACTATGAAAGACAAGTTTTTCCTTTCCTTCTTTGATCTATAGCAGCTATGGTTCCTACCTTTAAATTAAACACTTTTTACTAAATAAGTGTTAGAATAAAGTTTAGGGGGAAAAAAAAGAAAGAATTGGATGCTTTATTTAAGTTTTCAAAGTGTCTTCCTTTTGCAGCTTGCATTGTTGAGTAGCCATGTTGCAAGTGTCAACTAATATGTAATGGGATTGGCAAATAGATAAAATGCCATTTGCATATGTTGGTTATAGAAGAAATAAAGTATAATGTAGAGAATCAAGCAAGAGTAAGTTGACTGCTGATTACATGTCCTAGAACAACACTATACAATATAATGTATTTCCTGAAACTTAAATTTTACTTCTAAATTGAGATTTTCTAAAATACTATTTGGTGTTTTTTTTATTATTATTATTATTATTATTCTACTTTTTCACAAAAAGAGAATCACAGTCAATGGTTTTAAATCCATGCTTGTTTAAATTCTGCAAACATTTTACTGTCAATTAACAAATTTTTTTCTCTCTCTCTCTCCACTTAGTGTTACAAGCCAAAGAGAAGCCACCCTTGAATGTGGTTGGTGATGTGGGTGGACGTATTGCTATTATTGTTGTAAGTAAAAACAATTTATTTAAGCCAGTAATGTATTGGCTCAATTTAATTGACTAAACTTAATCTGCCACAAGTTGTATTTATCAAGCAGCCAATAAGAACCAAACAATATAAGTTTTACGAGACCTGAAGATAATCACTACTTTAACAAAAGTGATCAATAGATATTTTACTTTTAAAACAAAAAATTTTTATTAATGCAGCCTTTAATAAATTTGGATGAACAACTGAATGGTCTTGTTAAACACTTGCTTCAGCTTCATAGCTCTTGTTTTTCTGAAACAAAGAAAAATTATCAACTTTACATTATGGGATATGCTAACAAAGCAGTAACTTTTTTTTTCTATCTTTTCTGCTTATACAATGTGGCAAATTCGAATTTCTTATTCTAATGTTGAGATAAATAAAATTAAATATTAGAATCTCTCCACTCAAATATTTGCTTCCCTCTTCCCCTATAAGATGTAATATAAAGCATGCTTACAATTTGCATGGCTTTTCTTTTTCTTTTTTTTTCTTTTCTTTTTCTTTTAATCATTTCACTCCCAAGCAAGGTGATAGCTGATAATGCCACTAAGACACAAGGGGTTACTGGGAGTAGAAGTGAGGAGAAAAGATGAAAAACAGGATTCATGAAGACAGAAGATGGTTGACATTTATTATATTCCATGCTAATAGGAATATATACTTGAAAAACAAGGTGGATTAAATAAGTAAAGGTTTATTGTAAAAACAATACAATAAGAATAAAGGTAACAATTATGCATAAGGTCGTCGCAAGTCAATCCAGTACTGAGTGCTACTATTGGGAGGTCAGTAGTTTGCGCGTAAGTCTGGGTCGTACTCAACCCGGCTAGTCTCTGTAGTCTGTTGACTTACAGATACTTATAGGTAGTTACTACCTATAGTGTAGTCACACATGGAGGTGACAGGTTATTCCATTGCATCTAAATTTTTGAAGATTGTAAGTGACAGGGAATCAAGAAATTGGAAGAGAGTTCCACACACAAGAAAAATTATTAGAATAGAAATTAAGTTACATTGTAGCTAATCCAACAGTAAAACGATGCAACTTAGTTGACAATCTAGTAGCATGCTTAAATTCATGCAGTCAAGGCACCAAGGAGTAAAGCTCATAAGAACAATTGTCATGAAAATATTTGTAGAAAAGACGGAGGGAAGCTATGTCTCACATTGGTAAGAAAGTGACTAACATCGAGATGCCAGGTCAGGACCGATAACCTTATAGACTCTTTAGATTTTGTTGAGAATCTCAAGATATATAGCAGGAGCACCAGACAAGATATGGCAGCATGCACAGATGAATGGTAGAGTTATAAATGTGCAAGATGGATTCTGGCACTACATAGTAAACCAACTTTCCTAGCAGCAGGCTTAGCAATTGATTCAATATAATTTCTTCATTTCTTGTCAGTGGGAAATGTGAAACCAAGATTGCACAATAATTTGCTCTCCTGGAGGTTAGCATCAGCCATGCTGATGGAATGCTAAAATGGTTTTCTAAGACAGCAATTTCATTTTGGAGATGTTAAAAAATTTAAAAGCCATTCCTTACCTCAGTTAACAACTTTTTCAAGAGGAGCTGCCAGTTTTACTTTTAATCGAATAATCTTGTTTTAGATCCCCAAATTAATCTGCCAGCCAATGGCTTTCTGCTTATATTTACTTCCAAATTTGGTGATCTTGAATTTAATCCTTGTAAAGTTTCTTGCACTGGCTTGTTCAAAGTCTACATATAGTATTCAAACGTCAGTGTACAAAGAAAAGATTTTCTAACTAGTCAAATATTTCTAAAATAATAACATATATTTCTGCTTATAAGATAACCTTTAAATCACCCTTAAAAATTAGGGGTTGTCTAATACTACAATTCTAAAAAAGAACATTAAATTCTGTGTAATGTTTGTCAGTAGGCTAACCTCGGCATCAGTGCGATAACAATGTACATGAAAAGATTCACATTATCAAATAAACTGATAACGTAATAAAATCATGTCTACTTTATATATTACTTATATAACTTCATAATAAATTGCCTGTTCGAAGAATAATTCCATGTCAATGAAATCAACTTGTATCCATGCAAGTTCCACTGAGAAAATGTAAACATCAAATTATAGTTGCGTTCCCAGCAACCTTTATCTTTTGGTAAACTTTCAATAATCATTATGGTTGTGTTAATTATGACAGCAATAACATTTAGGATAACATAATATTCATTTCTCATTAAAAATGTAAATGGCTATTAGTACACCAGGCTGTTTGTAATTGTTTAAATGTAGGAAAAGAAGTGGAAAAAGAATAATCAGTATTCACAAGAGATCACATGATGAAACAAACAAAACAATGGTTTCCCTTTTTAGGGGACGTGTGTAGGAAAACATGATATAGAATCTGTTTTGTTATTTCATTTATTTTGAATTTCTAAGGATACACTAAGCAACAACATTTCCAGTAACATCTTCTTTGGATAATCAATAAGCAGTCATCTTATTCTATAGGTAGAGGATAAATTCACGAAAATTTGCTATATTTTTGACTCTTATCTAAAGGTCTCTTATACATGGAAATATATGGCATTAATATTTTTTAATTCTTTATTTAATTTATATTGATAGGTTAAAGTATCATTTGCTTGTAATATCTTTTGCAGGATGACATTGTTGATGATGTGAAATCTTTTGTGAAGATAGCTGAAGCATTAAAAGCAAGAGGAGCCTACAAGATTTATGTGATGGCAACCCATGGCCTTCTTTCCTCAGACGCCCCAAGACTCATTGATGATTCCCCTATTGATGAAGTATGTGATCTTGCACTCACTCTCATGTGAGCACATATACATACATATATATATATATGTGTGTACATGGGCAGCAATCTTTCTTTTATGTTAGGGTGGGTGGAGTTACTCCTTGTGATATGAAAATGCTATAAATAAGATTATCATGAGGGAATGCAAAAAAACGTTACTGAGTCGGAAATGTAGATGAAGTTAGGTGTTGCAGGATTAATTAACATTTTAGATAGGTTTCATTGAAGACGGCTGACATTGCGTGCATGTGCGTACACACAGACACACTCTTGCACCACAAACTGTTGGTGTAACCAACAAACAACTTGCCAAAAGACAGCACCTTAATCAAGAGAAAATCTTGAACAAAGAAAAGCCTACCTACTTAGTAAAGTGCTCAATGCTTAGATTACCTAGATAGAGCAAAGAACACTTCACAATCTTAACTCCTATCAAAGGACAGCCCAAGTTATTACTTAAGAGTGTGAAACTACTGTAACAACTCAGGTAGTCCTTTGATTGAGAGAGAGAGAGAGATAACGATGTATCAAGGACAATATAGTGGGGAGGGAAAAATGTATGACAAAGTGGAAGATTTCCTATTATGCATTTCACCCTTTAGGACTTCATTGGACTAAATTTGTTACATTGGTGTAACTATGTAAGCACATGAACAAGGCATACTAGGAATTTAAAAAAAAAAATTTTTATGTGTGTGTGTGTATGTATATATATATATATATATATATATATATATATATATATATATATATATATATATATATATATACACACACACACTAGCTGATTTCATTTAGATTCTTTTTTTTTTTTGTTTCCATCACATTGATCTAAATTAAAGATTATATGAACACATATTTTACAAAACAATACATCAAATGTGTTGGTTGCCTATCATAACAAAACTGGCCACAATTTTGACATGAAAAATGATACTCTGATCAAAGAAGAAAATTCACTATGATGAAAATGTTTAGAGAGTGCCTTGATCACAAAGACTACAGTAAATTTTCAGCCTGACCCTTAAACATTTCAACATTCCTAGCGGATCTTTTATTATCACAGTTTGGGGATATCTAATAACAAAAGCAATGCAAAAAGAATCTAAATGAAATTGGCAGGATTGTATTAAAAAAAAATTTAATTCCCAGTATCCCTTGTTTATGCATCTGTAGTCGCATCAACGTAATAGATTTAGTCTGATGAAATCCTAAAGGATGAAACATGTCCCACAAATACTTTTCCACTTTGTCATACATGTATGATTTTTTTTTCTGGCAATATTTGAATTATATTTACTAAATTCATTTTTGTTCTTTTTCTTAAAAAAAATAATAATAAACATTCTGAATAATTAAAAAAATAAACATTCTGAATAATTAAAGAAAAAAAGATTGCAAGTTATCAAAAAAACAATCAGAAAATAAATAAAATGTGCCTTATAAGTAAATATAATTAGAAATTGATTTGCCATCACATTAAAATCAGTTAATCAGCCATTAAACTGTAGGAATTCTGTTGTTTCATATTGTTCAAATTGAATTTTTAGCTCTTGCCTCTAGAAGAGGCAAGATTTACTGACTAGAAAAATTACTGATAAGTCAAATTTGAAATAATTTCCAGCTCCCAAAACATGTCAACTGGTTTGAGCAGAAAGTCAACTTAGTTCTAAATTGTCTCCAAATTTAAGAGTAAATCAACATACTTTCACTAATGCAGTTTCCAACAAATAAATCATTTATAACTAACACAAATACACACAAATTTAAAACAAAAAAGAATTCTAGACAGCCTTAAACTAATTTTTGAATTTCCCATGACTAATCGCTCTTAGTTATCAATTTCTTATTTTCTAGAAACCCCCCAACAAGTAAGAAATATCACCTTAAAATTTCTCACACATATCAATGAACTTACTTTTTTTTTTATATATTGTTAAGCAATTTTATCCATTTTATTGAAGTTTCTTTTGTACTAAAAGGAAAAAAAAAACTTTCTACACATATTGTTTTGTCAATGATGCTTCTCTCTCTCTCTATCTCTCCCATCTCAAAAAAGTATTTCAAACAAGTAAATGAGATCTTCCTAACAGAAATGAATGACATTTGCCTAGAGGATGAGATCCTGCTGACGGCAATAAATAATATTAGCTGAGAGAGGAGGAGAGGAAGGGATTCTTCTCCTGATGGCAATGAACAGCATTAATTACATCAATAATAAATTCAACAAGGTCATTTAAAAAGCAACAGATGTTCAGGCTTATCAGAATTTAAAAAAAAAAACATTTTTTCTAAGTAAATGGTGACCCTACACACTCATAAAAGAAATGAAACTAATAGCCTGCATATCTGCTATATACAATATGCTAACTTGCAGCTTATAAAAATAAACCATTATTAATGTGATAAGAAAAACAGAAGCTAAAGAAACTACTTAATTTTGGAATCCCAAAATGACTTAAAAGTATTTCTTCAAAATAGTTAAGTATACAGCATGGGGGAAAAGATTAGGGATACAAATCTTATAATTATTTAAATGATAAGGTCTTATCACATGACATGACAAGCTTTTTGGGTGTAATTAATTTTGGTGTTCACATTTCATCTGTAGCTGCTTTCTTCTCAAGTCCACCAATGAATTTTCCTGCTAACATGGGGTATATAATATAATACACTCTAGTTGTTGTGATCATAAAAAAATATATTTTTAAAATTAACCTTTAGCACACTGCATTATTAATATTACTTTCCACTGCATTCTTTTTCACTACCTTTCAATTGCAATATCCTTATTGTTAATTTCACTCAAATTTGTTTTCTGTTGCCATGGCAGGATATGACAACACAACTATGAAATTCAAACACAATATTGTTCAGATATCAGTCACCTTCAGTGGCAGGATAAATTTTTTGTACAGCAAATGAAATCATATACAGAGTAATAAATGTTAAAACCTAACAAAAATAAGAAAATATGTTCATGATTGTGACTGACATTTTGTCTCTATCTTTTTCTTAAGGTTGTAGTGACCAACACTGTTCCACATGACATCCAGAAGCTTCAGTGTCACAAGATCAAGACGGTGGATGTGAGTATGATGCTGGTTGAGGCTATTAGACGTATCCACTATGGAGAATCCATGTCGTACCTCTTCAAGAACATTGGCTATGATGATTAGACAAGATGGACATGCACCCACACCCCGCCAGTTGAGAGCCTGTGGTCACTTTTTTCATGCACACTTCCTGCTCTCTCTCCCTCTCATCTCCGTCAATTGGAACATGAGAAAAGTAATTACCTAGCGGATCAAATAGGTGTGTTGATAGTGTTCCTTGACAACTTGAATCATTTGTTAAATATCTAAGATCTTATCCAGAAGTAAATACCAGGTGAAATTTGATGCCAAATCATACACTTTTGAGTTACCAAACACAGGTAGATTCATTTATGAATTGTGTTCTAGTTATAAGTTCTGCTGTTGGCTCATTTGGCATTTACACATGTGTACATTACAATGTGATATCAACTTGTAAATGATCTCTATCAACATTCATAAAAAGAAATAAATTACACTTAGACATATTGCCTTAACAGATAACACAGCTTGTCTCTGATGTATGTTTCTACTTTACGATATGACATCCAGATGTTTGTTATAAATTACCATCTTGAAAAACAATACACACTCACACACACAGAGTAAATAACCAAAGCTGATATTTTCCTCCTAAGATTAACAGTGGTCACTACTTAAATTGATTTGTCTGCTCATAAAAAATAGAATAGTGTTTTTTTTGTTTTTGTTTTTAAGATTAACTTTCAATAGACCTTTTTCAAGCGACATTTGTCAGAATCAAAAGATATTGAAATTTGATAATTCTAAAAGTTTTCTATTGATAATATAAATATGGTATCAAATTAATGCCTGACTTCATAAACAGTTATGTTTTGGGTTTTTTTTTTTTTTTTTTTTTTTTTTTTTACAGAGATCAAATTTGAAAATATTACAATATTACACCATTGGTTGGTGTGTGGGGGTGGGGGCAAACATCAGTGGTACGCAGCTATCAATGACCAGCTCAATTTCAAACTTGACTTTTGTAAATAAAAAACAAAATACAGATAACTCTAAGAAATCAAGGATCAATTTGATACTGTATTTATATTACGAACCAGACCCTCTCTTTTCTTTGATAATAAAAAAAAAAAAATATTTTTTAATTCTAGTAAATGACATTGATAAGCAAAAGTTTAATGAAAAAATTCCACCCCACCAAAAAAAAAAAAAAAATAAATAAATAAAAGTAAATTTTTGCCTATTTTTTTATGGGTGAACCACTCAATTTAACTAGTGTTTAACAGTATTCTAATAACTGAACATGATTAGTAAAAAGAAAAAACAAAGATTTCTTTTATATCAGGGATGCTTTCAAATTTGTGCTCTTTAAATAAGGTTTGTTGTTGGCTGAGAAAAGAAATGTAATGTTGGTCTTTTCTCAGTTTTAGATTTTGTTTACAAATTAACCTTATGGGGTTCTTTTAACTGGAAAATCATTCAATTCTATCTAATGCCACTGACTTCTGGAACACTTCATCATTGTCGGTTATGTCTCCTTTAATAATGTTGAGGTTGTTCCTGTCTGTATATAAAGTATTTTCATGTTTATGTAAGATCAGTAAAATTATAGAATAATGATCATTTGAAAAACACAAAAAGATCTTTAAATATATTGTTTGTTTTTTTTTTTTTTTTTTTTTACTGGTTGATGTTGAATCATCAGGTAAAATAATTCTTTATTTGATCAAAAGTTAAGATGAAGTCATTTTCAGCAACCATGATGGATGCAGGCAAATATAGAAATAAACCTGATAAAGTCCACATCCACATTGGCTTGCTGGAAATACAACTTCCATAGGTTGGGGTTTTTCATGTTTTGTAGTTATAGAAAACTTGGTAATTACTAAAATCCCAAATCCCACCATCACTCTTGAAAATCACATTTCCCACAAGCCGACATTACAGCGAATGCCTGTTAAAGGTTGTTATCTTACACGTAACAAACTGACCCCCCAGCAGGCCTATTTTTTAAAATTTGACCTGGTGGTTCCATAAAAAAAATAAGTTTAATTACACTTTTCATTAAGCATTTGTTTTACACAATTTTACAAGAGAAACAATTGCATTGCTTTGGCAATTTCTGTTGATTTTTTTTAACATTTTTATGTATTTTTTGCTAATGTTTTTATTAGATTTTAGTTAATCCAGTTTAATTGTTTATATTGGTTTTCAATAAGTGGCATAAATTTCAACCTTGTTTTGTTGATCATAAAATTAAAAACAAAAACTGACCATTTTGAGATTTCATATAACATAAACTTTACATTTTCAACAGACAGATACATACCTCAAGATATGAATTCTCCACTCAAATGACCGTTCACCCTGGCTTGTATTTTCTGCCAAAAATAGAAGTTGAAACTTCCAGTGTTAATTTTTAAATCTTTTAGGAACAATTATTGATAAAATTCTTGTAATTGTTTGAGTGGATGGGTCCCCCCTTGCAAGAAGCAAGAATAATTTTCATATCAGACTAACTGATCAAACAAAAACTAATTATTATCTGTTTGGCTTCGTATATTTTGATATTTCAATCATCTCTAATGGTTACAGAATTGTAATTACATCAATTGTACATTGGTGAATAGTGGGAACTCGGAAATTTTCCACTGATAACCTGATATTTTAAAAGGTTTAGGATGAAATTGCAAATAGTTTATATCTGTGCCCCATTCCCACATTTTTAATACTATTATGTGGATAAATTTGCTAAACTTCTGGATTCAGGGATGTACTTGTTAAAGCAGTCTTCTGTATTGAAGATTTGCTGCAATTTGATTGGTAGTTTTGGCTTACAAATTTAGATCCCAACTTTTAACAAAAATAAATCCTGCATCTCTTTACTAACGCAGCTCCCATTTTCTTTTTTGTTTTTTTTTTTTTTTTTTTTTGCTTAAAATTTGAAACATTTGACTAAGAATAAATCAACTTGAGTGAACAATGCATTTAAATTAAACGTAAATCCAACACTTTTCATTTAAAACTTGTCAGTAGGAAGCATATTTAAAAAAAAAAAATTAGACATTTTAGTATTCCCCTTTAATTCAATTAGTTCTTTAAATTCTATATTTTAATAAAATTTCAGTAAAATACTGCTTTCTTTAATTAAGCTTTTGTGTCATTTAAAACAAAATGTTACTAGATTAAGTTTCTTACTTTTTGTTCAAGTCAGTATTACAATTTTGATATAAAACAGAAATGGTTTGCACTTGAAAAGGACAATTCATTAAGGAAAAATGTTGAGTTTATTACTAAGATTAATATATTGTGAAGGCTGATTCATTCTTAGTGAAATCTGCTAAATAAGACAAATACAGGCATGAACCAACTAAGTGATTTTGAAAATGACATTCTTTTGTCAAGGATTCTCATTTTGAAATACTTTGAAAATTGTTTTTGTTCTCAAGAAATGGTTAAATCTTAACAAGACATCACATTAAGGCTACACATCTACATATTACCTGATTTCTAAAATGCATTACATATCTGTATATATCTTTATTACAACAACAGACTCCTTATTTCTGTGTCATCATTTTTGATCTCGTCATCAGTTTTTTTTTTATTATTTTACTTCGCTTCATGTTCTGGACATGAATTTTGATATAAACTTTCAAATACAAGTTTTATTAGGCATGTGATAGAAGGGAACAAAAAGGCCATCTTGAGTTCAGTGGGGGGGATCAAATGTTAATGAGATTAAAGAGGAAAATTAAATTGTCTTCTGCAGTCAATTCACTCAATACTATACAAATGTTTCCATTTGAGCAAATTCCTTACTTTGAATAAAAAGGATTTCTCTACCCTAAAGTATAATAGAGGATTTGAATTCTGACTTGGTCAAATTTATATATTTTCTTATACAATAATACTGCTTTTGATGTTATGAAAGATGAATAAAAACTGTTAGACCAGAATATGAGGCCAGGTAAAATATAACATCTCCATTTAAACCAAGGTAGCTGTGTAAAAACAGGATGTTCTCCTGGGATGAGAAATGTAGAATAATTTTTTTTTTTTGTCTGTTATCAGCAATAAATTCAAGAGTTGACATATTTTCTTTTCACTTTCTTGCTTGTTTTTTGTGGTTGTTTTTCTTTTCTTTTTTTCTAAAATTCAGTCATTTCCTCTTAATCATTAAATTCTGTAACTGTTTAAGAGTGACAGTGGTTATTCCATAAAAACTAATAAGTATGATATTCTGGAAGCTTGGAAGGACTAGAAAAGAAAATAATTACAGTACCAATGATCATGGGAGAACTGGGATGCTGTATAAAAAAAACATTGAAAAAAATCTTGGATTGTGATTTAGAAATAGAGCATTTACAGAAAGCTCAGAACAAGGATCCTTGTTAGTGAAAAAAGATGATTGGTTTATTTTCTTAAGTGTGGGACCTGAAAATAAACTTTGTACCACCAACGAACATCATATGTTAATTGATTATGATAATATACAGTATATTTTGTAATTTTAAAATAATTCTTTTGGCAGGGGGATCTTGTGCAAAAAATGTCTTTCTTTTTTTTTATCATAATATTCAGACTTTTTACATTCTACAACTTTAGTCATTATTTTCAATCAATACGGTTTAATCTTCCAATGAGGTTTGAACTCTAATTTCTAGGGTTCCATGAGAAATAGGCTAATGTTTTTTCAAGTAATTTTTGTTTAATTTTATATCTCTAATTATACACCTACTGCATATTGTTGGCAAATCCTTGGTTATTATAATGAAGGTTTCACCTTCTTATATTATTTAAAATTATAATAATTTAATGAAGATCTTTATCGACATATATAAGGTGTCAGTACGAAATCCCCTTCACTGGTTAGTAGACAGGACTTGTACGTGGTGGATTCATATATTATTGAGTGACTCACTTGAGTACAGGATGTGTGTACAGTGTCCATATGTTACAGTTACCACATGAACTACAACAAAAATATAAAAGACATATTAATTATGGTATATAATAATTTTTATGCAGAGTTTCCTTGAAACATGAAAGCTATTACAAAGGTAAAAAGAAATGCTGGTGTATAGTTATTAATTTCCAAA